CCCCCCCAGAAACAAATAAAAAAACAAAACAATAACAAAAACAAAACAAACACAAACACCATCAGTTTTGTCTGGATTTTCTTCCAGTGGTTACATAGTGGTTATATCTTAATTTGAGCCGCAAAAATGTTTAACCTAATTTAGTGGATACACGGTTTGAGTCAGTCACCGACTGTAATAATATGAGCCCAGTAAGGGTCTTAGCATGGTAAGAAATATAAAACTACACACAACCCAGCATAACCGTATGACATAGTAATGGGAGATGACTGATGATATATTATTAGCAAGATGGCGTGGAAATTTGCTCACACTACACATTAGTACAGGGGTTGCGCCCAGAAAACCGTTACGTCTGTTATTTCACTTTGCCATTTTTTGTCGTGGGAGCGTGGGAGACAGTAGTCAAAGTTCTATCTGACATTTTTTTTTAAAAGATTTAATTTTTTTATTTTTTTTTTGGTACTATTTTGAGTTACTAAAGTCTTGAGGCCAGAAGCCAACTGCTCTATCTGCTTTATCAAAATCGTAAGATTATTCGTAGTCGTTATCAAGATGTTTAAAGAATTACATTCGAAAAAGCTTGACATGCTGTGAAACTCAAAATTTTTTAACGTCAAATTTATTAAAATTAGGTACTGAGCAGATGGATCTTTGTGATTCTATGGTAGCAAGTAGTCAAGATTCGAATGGCGAGAGGCAGACATAATTATATACTATTCGTGCCTCAATTTCACCACTGACAAGACTTCCATTTCAAATTGGACGACACTGAAGTAAGCAAAATACAAAACGATAAATTAAATGTAAACTTTTTTTCGCCTTCAAGCTGATCTATGAACAATAGTTGCAAGCCAAATCTTACAGCTTTGATATTTTGCTAAGACTTCAGATGTAGATGTGTGTATCATATTTCTATTTTCGCCTGAACCAGTCCAGTAAAGATGAGTAGTATAAACGTTTTCTTTGAATCTAATCAAATTTAAGATATAAGCGTCATGATTAATCCATGTGCAACATTTATTCTTTTACATCTCTCTCTCTCGCTCTCTCTCTTTCTCTCTCTCTCTCTCTCC